TTCTCTTTCATCTTGTATGTTTTAAATTACTCCTAATAAAATATAATACTAGCCAGACGAGGTGACATGCACCTGTAGTTCCCGCTATAGGAGGCTTGAGCCCAGGAGTCCAAGGCAACAAGGCCAGAGTGCACTACTATTGCACCTGTGAATAGCCACTGCATTCTAGCCGGGGCAACACAGCAAGACTCCCATCTCTTAAAAAAAAAATTCTCTATCAGGTCAGTTAGTCTTTAAACAAATCTTTCCTTTCTTCACAAGCAGCACTATGCTCCAATTAAAAAATCAAGTATCTCATACAGACTAAAAATCAAAATTCCTTTGTTAACAATAACTATGAAGCCATTGCCCTCAGACATTCCTCCTTCCCTCTGCTACAAGATCTAATTTAGAAAATACATCCTTCAACTTGCTGTCCAAAGTCTGTGAATCCCTAGAGATGTTACTTTTCACTGTTGAGTCATTCCTTGACAAATCATTGAGCAAGAGAATCAGATAGTTTGATAATGCATGGCAGCCTTCCACCCCATTCCAGATGGCCACTCTAGGAAAACAGCACATTCATTAATTAGTCCAAAGACAGCTCTCTGTCCACTCAATACAAATACCAACCACCACGACTCAGCTTTCCTCAAAGGCCAACAGTTCTCCAGGCACCTGTGCTTCCTTTCTTTTCCTTAAGAAGTTACAGTGTCCCCGCATTTGGCATGAGTCTCCTACTGGTAATGTGACTGTGATGGTGTAAATTCTTTGCTCCTTTTTTCATGTCTTCCGAGTTAGTTTACTGATTTCCATGGACCACCTTCTCAGTATAGCACAGGGTCCAGGCGCCTCCCTCTACAGAAGATACCAATTTAACCTCAGTGTGTGAAACCCTTTTCTTAAAAAATGCAGGTCCTATTGCAGCATGTTGCTTTTCTTCCTCTTCTGAGTCATTATGCTGAATTTTTTAGACTCAGATTCAGGTTTTGATTCCTTTTTCTTCCACATTACCCAGAATTCAGTCTAACAAGCAGCAACACAGAAAAAATTATTCAACGATTTATCTACAAACATAGTGACAGGTCCATATTCGGTTCACATTTAATTACAAGTTATAGCACCTACTCCTAGGTTTTCAATCCTCTTAACACTGGCTGGGGCACCAGATAGAATTTTCTAATCTCCTAACAATCCTTGGTAACTTCTCTGGTTGGGGAAATGTACTTCCAGAGGGAGATGCTGGTACTGAGGTCACTCCATCTCAGATTTATCACAATGGTTTCCATCTCCTGCAGCCACCAGATAACATCTCAAGGCTTTTACTAGCAACCTACTAGCAATTATTACTAAAAAACAGTAGGTTCTATATCAATGAACTACTGAATACAGAGAAAAACTACCAAGGATTTTAGATAAATCCTTTCTTCTAAAAATTAAGTATGAGCCTATCTGTTCAAAGACTTTGAATAATCATAAAATTATTCAAAGTATTCGATGTATAAATTCACTTAACTGCTATTTCCCAGTCAATTAGATTTTTATTCTTTATTACCAAAAATACTAAATGCTTTTATTTTGGAGATGTTAAACTGCATTATGATATGCCACCAGCTTATGTGAGGAAAACACACCAAAAGAAAACATTTATTCTAATATAAGAAATTAAATATCATTGTAAGCCACAGCCAATTCCACTTGTAAAAAAACAACAAAAACACTCTTGGTCCCTTTCTCAAAAAATCACAGGTTTTATTAAACATCATCAAAATCTTTACATTAAGAACAAAGGCCAAATAAACAATAAAAAATGCTAACATATATGACTTGTGACTAGACAAACCTGCACTGGACTAAACATTTATTAAGGATGCAAAAAGACCCTATCCTAAAAATATGACTAAAATGGCTTCTAAAATATATTCAGATGTTTGGTCATTAATGCTACATGATAAAACATTTTGTCTGATTTCTTTACAAGAAAACTAGGGGGAATGGCTTTGCTGCCTTCATTGTTCACTGAAGGAATTTCAAGGTTAAAAAAATTCAAACAAAATGTATGGCAAACATCAATAATTTAAGGGCAACTGTTCAGAACCTTTGTGTGATGCATGTAAAATACCTGAGAATTTTAAAACATAAAAATTCCAGGAAGAGCTAACGTATCATCTGTGGCAAAAACTCTTAGTTAAAATGTACCCAGAGGTTCTCTACTTGTCAAAGGTTTTCTGTAAGATGTATCAGTAGAAAGGAAGACTTTCTGACCGTTAATATGCAATAGGACCGACTAAGAGAAAGCTCAGTGAGAAGAGTCAAGAGAGTTTCAAATTACTAGCACTGAAGGCTTCACCATGGAGCCCATGGCTTGCAGAGTCAGTGCTTTATTAATTCTCATATTCATAAAAAGAGTTACCACTTCAAAACAATTACAGAACAAGGAAAGGTGTAAATAAATGTAATGAAAATATTCATTGCAAAAATGCTTATTTTGAGCCAAAAGTCAACTACACTAGTTTACTTTTGGTATCTTCCCCTAAACCTTACTGTAGGGTTTTTTTGTTTTTTTTTTAAAGTTTGAACTAGGTTGCTCCCGTGTCATGAATGAGTTGATGAACACCTCCAAATTTCCATATGTTGATGTTTTAAGCCCAATGCAGGTAACAATTTACTTTCACAACCCCAAGAATATTCACTGATGGTGAAATAATATTTAATATGTCAAAATAAACAGATACTTCAACTGTTCATCTCACCTTGAGAGCTACAGAATGCCTTCAGGATAATTTGATTTTGGTGTGTAAGGAACTATTTCACCAAAGCACAAGGATTTTTGGTTTTAATAGTTCACTCTCAGCCCCCATGATGCCACTGTGTAAGATTTCTTTCTCTTCCACTTCTATGGACTTCTCAGGTAGCCTGCTGGCTCATTTTCATTTATTTATATGCAGACATATTTCTTTTCAAACCATAAAGCAATTCCTTCTGCATTCAGTATATGAACTTATAGGCAACAATTCACATTTTTTTAATCAAGTCATTTACATATGAGGGTAATTTTATCAAAATCTGAAAAAGACTTCCATTCGGAGGACCAGAGAATGGAAGCATGGCTTCTAAACAGATGGCAGTTCTCTCTGGAAGAGTGAGAGTTCTACAGAGGGAGGAATGATTATTAGATCATAAAGCATTCACCTTCACAGGGGTTTAATCAGGATCCCTTTTCTTCCACCAGTTAGGCAAGGAAACTGACTGAGTCCTTTTACCTACCAACCTCAAAACAGAATATAGCATATCACACAGCAAGAGACAAGATCACTTACGCCTCCAGCTGCTTCTCATCTAGCTGAGGGTAGAGGAAGACATTTGTGATATAGCTGAAGAATACAAAACTGTACTGCAACAGATAATTCAGCACTCTTGTTTGCTTTACAAAAAAAAAAAAGGCTCAAAGCTTCAGAAAAAGAAAAAGATACTGTATTCAGTGGCCTTAGGGACTGCTACAGGAGGTGGGGGAGAAATCAAGTAAAACAGGATACTCTCTCCACTCCCATCTCCCACTAGTCAATCAGGCAGTTACTCTTTATCTTTTTACAAACAATGGCTCTAAAAGGGTTTTGTATGAAAAAAATACTTTGAAGTTAACCAAAAACACAAGTTCAAAACTACTAACTAGAAGGTCTGGAAGGTACCGTCTAGTTCTTAATGCTCAACAATTTTATGATCTCTTAGATAATCAACTCTGATTTATCACTGAGATCATCAAATGTGGAGCAAACTGTCTAGGATTCTGCTCACTGTTCTGATGATGTCTACCTTAGGATGACATTACGTTGGTTTTGGGGAAACACTGACAAATAGAAAAACCGGGTGATACAGCTTCAAACGGCCCTGAGAGAGAATCAATGGAAGTAAAATATTCATCTAAAAGTACTGACAGTCATAAGATATTTGTCAATTGGTAAAATAACTGTGGACCTGATGAAAACAGCTGGTTACCACTGTAGATGATTACCCTGAAAATATCTGGCAATATTACACCAATAGCAGTTCATCTTAATGCAAAAATAGTTAGCTTTGGATATCACTTAGTAAATTGTGTAGCAATACTTTTAAACTCTGCTAGTCAATATAATAATTAAATGCCAAACTGATTTTTTTAAAAATTCATTATGATGAAATGAACACTAAGAGGAAGCTAAGAGTAAGCTGCTTGAACTTACTGTAACACATGCTACCATCGAAACAAATAAATGGAAGCCTGGAAGTATTCTTCCAAAAGGATGAACACAGCAAACTGCATTACCTGACCGTAGCCTGTGTACTCATTTCCTTTACTGTAATTCTCATGGACTTCATCCAATATCAATTGTGACAAAAGAATCAAGTGAAAAAACAGAATGTGCTGGTTTGGGGGATCTTTAATCACATATAAATTCCACCCATAGGAAAAACAAAAATGCTTATTAGTCAGTCAGTTACATATAGCAGAAATGTTATTCTATTGAGTTCACCCAAAGAAAATATATTATCATTTGGTTCAAATATGAAGTATACACTGATTCTGTTCATTAATGCCTTCAGTTCTCTGCAATATAAATTGCAACATAAATTTGAGTCATCGGTCTAGAAAACATACACTTCAGGAGTCTGCTTGTAGGGCTGCTGGATTATCTCTTTTGTACAAGCACCTATACATGTGCTGCAAACAGGCAGATGCATGAGCAGATGCATGAGAAGGACAGACTTACCTTCATCCAAAGAGAAGAGACTGAACTGAACACTACTAAGTAAGCTTCTCCCCGCCCCAATACCTACAAGCACAACATACACACACATACCAGCGTCAAAACAGACAATGAAAACAAAATCCAAATAATAGAAAACAACTTATAGTTGGTATTCCATTTAGCCTCAAGGTAGTATTTTCTACAGAACATTCTCAATTGAGAAACCCTCAGTACTAGATTTGTGTTAAAGGAAGAAAAGTATGAGCATAACTGTGTCCTCAGAAGTGTCCCCACCTGACAGACATCAGAACGGATGCCAGTTTTCCAGAATCCTTGGCTACTTAGCTCCACTGTTACTTCTCGTCTCATTGTGTTCTTCTGCCGTATTTTTTGGAGTGCTTCCTAGAAAACAATTCATTATGAGTAACACAACTGCTATATAGCAATAGTAAGCCAAACATCAAGCATTAGAAAATAAGTTGGATTCATTTACTACTACCCTTACATTCAGATACTCAAACCTCTTCATACAAAATTACAGTAGTTTCTTTAAAATGGAGGCTAGAATGCTCAGAGCTTGGGGTATAATGCAGCCCAGCCTTTCTTGGCAACTAGATAAGAAAAAATCTAAACCAAATCTACCATTCTAGTATTTTTGAAAAAACTATGCCCTTTCATTGATAAAGGAAGCAAAATGTGGTTTGGGATTTGAAATCAGCATGTAAAATTTTTATCATGCATCATGTTAAGTATTTACATCTAAGAAAGACAATCAGTAAATTCTTTTTTTTTTTGAGACAAAGTCTGGCTCTCTCGTCCAGGCTGGATGTGCAGTGGCGCAATCTCAGCTCACTGCAACCTCCACCTCCCAGGTTCACGCCATTCTCCTGCCTCAGCCTCCCGAGTTGCTGGGACTACAGGCACCCACCACCACGCCCAGCTAATTTTTTGTATTTTTAGTAGAGACGGGGTTTCACCGTGTTCGCCAGGATGGTGTTGATCTCCTGACCTCGTGATCTGCCCACCTTGGCCTTCCAAAGTGCTGGGATTACAGGCATGAGCCACCGCGCCCAGCCACACAATCAGCAAATTAACCTGAAACCCACATAATTCTAACAGTTGCCTTCTAACTTGCAAATCCCTTATAAAAACCCTTGCTGTAAGGGCATATTTTATATAAAAAAAGACTACGATCCAAAATGTCATCTGTGAGACATGATCAGGAACTAACTCTTCCCTTTCACGGTCCTTCGAATAATTGTAAAAATAATTGTATATTTGTATGCATGTAATTGAATCAAAATCTCATAGGAATTCATAACAACAGGAACCACCCCCTACCCCCACTATTGATTAAGTTCCTTTTACAGGTCAAATACCACAAGAGGCCCGTTAAACGGCGTATTTCAGAAGTTCGTGGAACTACCTTTTTTGTTGAGTGCACCAACGGAGGAACATTTCAGTCAGCCTCTCAACCTTAGTTCCCTCCTTTATAAACAGGCTGACTGGCTTAAATCACAGTAAGTGACAATGCCAGAATTCAAACACTTTTTCCACCTTCAAAGCTTTGCTCTTACACAACCCCAGCAGAATAAAACTTCTGAGACAAAAATCTATGTTGATACTGAAACCATTTTTTCTTGTAATTAAAACTAAAACATAAGTTATCCTGGATTACAGGGATACTACTACCCATTAGTAAGGAAATATGGAATTTGGGATATGAAACCTTACAAAATAAGTTTACCATGCTAAACTGGCAGACCAATGGGAGACAATCTTTTCCAACTTTAAGACCAAGAAATCTGAGTAGGGCCCAATGTTGTATAATGTGCAACCAAATTAAAGATAAAAGGCTGATTCATCAAATTTAAGCTTTAATATCTATAAAAGATATGTTTGATTCCCAATGGTAATAATCCATTAAGAAACTGGCATTTTAGGAGCTGATATAGATAGGATGTTTTGGCACCTCCAAATTTCACATTGAAATATGATACCCAATGTGAGAGATGGGACCTGGTGGGAGGTTTTTGCGTCATGGGTGGATCCCTCATGAATAGCTTGGTGCCTTCCCCATGGTAATGAGTTATGTGAGATCTGCTTGTTAAAGAGAGTCTGGGACCTCCCTCCTCCCTCTCTTGCTCCCTCTTCTGTCATATGATGTGCCTGCTCCCCATCCACCTTCTACCATGACTAAAAGCATCCTGAGGACAACCCAGAAGCCAAGCAGATGCTGGTGCCACACTTCTTGTATAGCCTACAGAAACGTGCACCAAATAAACCTCTTTTCTTTATAAATTACCGAGTCTCAGGTATTCCTTTAGAGGAATGCAAAACAGACTAATACAGGGATTAAAAGGCTCCCTTAAATACTAAAAGATTTCTTTAAATCAATTGGTATAATAATGTGGGGAGGAGGGTAAAGCATGATTTTTTTTTTAAACATATTTTTCCATCTTGTACCAGAAGTACAGTGTGATACAACAATCGTGAAATACACCTGAACCACATCATCATTAATCACCTAGGAATGGAGTTTGATACAGACCTCCCTCTGTGCCAGCTTCTGTTTATCAGTTTGTTTGACTTTGGGACTATTTGCTAGGAGGTGGCGAAGTTTCACATAACTCTTCCACAGTTTTTGGTACCTAAGGAAAAGGACAGGCAAACATCTCAGGTAAACAGAAGGTAAATCTAAAGTGCAACAAACTCAGTTATTTTAAGAGGCCTCTTCAAATCATACATTACATTCTTTTGATTATTCTTAATGGCAGAAAGCCGTCATTCTAAGGAAGGTTATGACTTTGAGGTTGAGAGTCGGGATGGACAAAAGTCAACTGGAACCTGGTGATTAAGTTGATTATTACTTATTTTGGTTGGAAATGAGGTGTGACTATATGAATGAATCTCTGGAAAGAATTCCAAAGACACAAAAACACCTCAACCAATGGAATCATCCTGTTTCTCACTGTTACCTCTTGAAAATAACAGATTTTATTTAAATATATACTTTCTGATATTTATTGACAGACCCCTTCTTTAATAGGGAGCCTGTCAGTTGCTGAACTACTTATACCAAACATAAGAGTTGAAGAGTATTAGAATAGAGAACTCCATTTGTGCCAAAACCCAAGCTACATAGCTATATCTATTTTTCTACTGGAGAGGGTAAAAGACTAATGGTGTATACCAATTTGTATTTACCATGACAATATAAGCATATTTGTTGTAGCCAAATAAGTTATAACCTAGACCAGTGTAAAGGATACTGTCAAAGCGTCCTGGAAATGAAGCGAATATGCAGTCCTTTATCAATTCACAGTCCTGCCATCTGAGAGTCCACGAGAGCCTCATCACATTCTACTAACATTTTTCTAACAAGAAGGGATTTTCCAAAGATTTTCTGTCGTATTAAAACTGCTCCTTTCTTGGCCTTAGCTGGGCCTCTCCTTTTTTGAAAACTTTTTTTTTTTTTTTTTTTTTAAAGAATGGAGGAAAGAAAGAAGTACTTACACAGTGCCTGGTTCACTGCTTCATACTTTTATCCAAAGGGGGAAAAAAAAGAACAAAACCCTTTAGCCTCTTCTAATATATGTCAGCCAGAACTGTATTTATGAATTGAAAATCTCCCATGCCCTTTTCTCCCACTATGAATCCTTTTTTTAAAAAAAAAAATTAAGTCAGGAAGCTGTTTGTGTATTTAGCAAGGTAGGAAATCCAAACAGTCCCAAAGAATCTAATGGTAATATCTCCATTCCCACACATCCTGAATCTTCTCCCAGACAACACTAACATGCCAGTTGGAAAAATCAAAATGTGGAAAGTTACATCAATTCTAAGAGTCAGAAGTCACGGCTCCTACTTCCAACACAACCTTGACTTTGCATGTGATCTTGAACTCTTAAGATGCCCCCAAAAAGAGAACTCTGCATAAATTCGGCAGTGCTAGGAACCAATATGTGCTACTTTCCTCTAGAGGGCACTGAAAAAATAAAAAATAATTATTATTATTATAAGGATGAATAAAGAAAAAGTTCCTTAAAGTTTAAAAACATACAAGGACTTATGTTGATCAAGTTTGCCAAAAATATTCTGTTGAATAATAGTTTCTTGCACTCAAATATGTGGAGAAAATAATTCTTCAGGAGCTACCAAAATTGTTTCATTTGGGTAATCTAAACTGGAAGCATGGCTCATTTCAGGTCTTAATTTTTGAAAAGGAAACATCCACTAAAGGGTATTTCTCTGCTAATTCAGCTGTTAGTAGAAGGTGAAATTGGCTAAGACAAACACTGAGAAATATCTTACTGTGGGTCTCCTGCATAACTCAACTGTGCAGGGCGTATCCCAAAGTGGACGATAATCGGAAAAGTAATCACATCAGGGTTGAACTGTTCACGATCCAGTTGATCGATACGGACAGAGCTTGGTTTCTAGAGAGAAAAATCAAAGCCATTTATTCCCATAAGAAGTCTTTACGTATTGACTTTAACCTAAGTAGGGAAGGAATAAATTGGACTTTTTTCTAGGAAAGCCTTGTCCCCAAAGGGAAAAGGTCATTTAAAACCCTTTAATTACAGCAGCTCTACTATCTAAAAACTACAATGTCATCCCTGTAAATGAGCCTATGCCATTTGGCATAATGAACAATGATTTTGTCCTTTTTTGCAGTCCACATAGAAACCTTTAAAAATTAAACTTTTAAAAGGACACCTAGTCAGATATAACTTTTCCTTAACCTCTCCGAAGGCACAGGGGAAGGATTCCACATCACAGGCAGAGCCTGTTCTGCTTTCATTTCACATTTCAGGATGCATAGACAGATGCCTCTATTTAAGTTTTTCCCCCACTTTTTCTCAGTGGATCTTATGTATTCCTTTAATTCTACATCTTTAAGTTAGATAGTACAGTGGTGCAAAGGCCAAATAGTTAAGCTTCTCTTTTTATGTCCATGTAGGACATTTGTGTATTTTAACAGAGAGCCTCATATTTTTTTCTTCATGTCTAATAAAGGAAGAAGTGAATGGCTCATTCCTTCTGGATCATTTGTGAAATGGCTTTCATCTTGAAAGCTTAAATTTATGAAAAGATGGTAAAATCACAGAGAATAGGTTTCAGCAACCTCCTTATAATCATCTCTCAGGACAGTCTCAATTAGAGACTCAATTTTTACTAGCACACCGTAGAGTCTGTGGCTCAGTTGCTTTGGAGGCTGAGGCTGTAAAACTGATTCACACAGAGGCCAATAATCTTCATTCTGTCCCACAACAATGCCCAACAACTAGAGTCTGGGGGGCTGCCTGGTTTCTCTGGGACAGAGGAATTTCAATGCTAAAATCAGGAAATCTCTCAGCAACTGGGACAAGCTGGTCACTCTACCTGCAACTGTGACACCAGCCAGCCATCTGACAAATATTCAACGAGGTGACAAAGGGGATAAACTTGGGTGAATTCATCCACATTACTTAAAACACTCAAACCTTTGGGAGGCCAAGGCAGGTGGATCATGAGGTCAGGAGTTCAAGACCAGCCTGGCCAACACAGTGAAACCCTGTCTCTACTAAAAATACAAAAATTAGTCAGGCATAGTGGCGCACACCTGTAGTCCCAGCTACTCAGGAGGCTGAGGCAGGAGAAGCACTTGAACCCAGGAGGCAGAGGTTGAGGTTGTGGTGAGCTGCGATTGTGCCATTGCACTCCAGCCTGGGCAACAGAGTGAGACTCTGTCTCACAAAAAAAAAAAAAACCTCAAACTTTTTAAGTGTCATTTAATAGTCAAAATTTCACTAGCTTCTTGAAAGTTGGTCTCTGCTCTCAAAATTTGAAAATCGAAAATATTTTATTCACATGTAACCTAATATAAAATTAATTAAATGCCCATCAACAGTAGCAATGTGCTAGGTCAAAGAATTGCTTTCATTATTTTGTACAACAAAACAGCAGGATACATTTTTAGAAGGGGAACTGTGGAATAGAATGCTACTGAATTATTCATGTTTCTGTGATTTTTAAACACCATGCCATGGTACCAACAGAGGAAACAGTGATTTAAAATATGTATAGTATCTCTAAATTTATGGCAGGGGTTGGGGGAGCAGGAAATGAAATATATTCTAGACTTTGGCCATACCCTATAACATTTATTATACCATCTTTGTGTAAGAATAAAAAACATTCTCACTAATGACAAAAGTATTCCTTGGAAGATTAATTCTTTTAAGTTCTGTAGCAATAAAGTATTTAGTGTGACCATAATGGCTTGAAAAATTTAATAAATTTTCCAATATTCTTGCCATTAAGCAATCTTTCAAAGCAAGTCCTACAGAGGATGAAACGTAGTGTGGTGTCTCCCTTGTCGTATGAGTAACTTGCACACTTCTCAGTAGGATATTTTCATAATACTGAGTTCTCAGATTTTTTTTTCCTCCTTTAAGCATATCTTTAGATAAATACTATAAAATAATTAACTTCAACACATTCCTAAGCCTGACACCAAAACTTCCAATATAAATCTTTCATACTGACTAGGTCTGACTTCATGTTTTTAATACTGGCTTTACAGCATCTCAAGTATTAATGGTTAATCATGCCAATAATTTCTACAATTTCTCAATTCCTCAGAGATCTTACTGTTTAGGAAGCACCCCCGGCAAGCCTATCCCAGTGATCTCTCCTAAAATGAGAGTCTTTCCTGATGGGTCCATAGGCTCAACCACTCATCAAAGACTCCCTTCATATGTTAGTGGTCTTTGGGTTTTCACCTGGGCAAGCATCATACATTAGTTTGGTGCAAAAGTAGTTGCGGTTTCTCCCATTACTTGTAATATACCTTCAGGTATATATACCTTAGGTATATAACAACCTAATATATAACGTCCCTAGCACCTGGCTCATATAATAGTCCCTCAACAAATTAGTTGAATGATGATCATGGTGATCATAAACTTCATCTAAGTCACTGGCTCAAAAACAAGCGACGAGAAAATCAAACTGTTTGAGGATTTTTTTTTTAACTACAGAAAACTAGGCCTCACTGCCTGGAGCATATAGGGTAGGTATATCCTTAAGCCAGGGTATCCTTAAGTTTTTTTTTTAAACTCTCCAGCTGCTTCTAGATTTCAGGAAAACGTAACTATACCATGGAAGGAAGCCCAGGGTGATCGTGCTCCCGCAGTGTCTACCACAGAACATGGAACTCTCTAAGTGGAACCACCCAGCTGAAACTGGACATCTCCCACCACCATCACCCCATCCTCTGACTCAGCATGAAAAATGACAGAGGGAATATCAATATATACAACTGTTTTAAGAATAAAAATAGAATTCACAGTCTTACTCTGAGAATGTTATTACTTCCATATTTCTTTTAAAGTTAATAATTACGTGGCTTAACAGTATAACAGTAAAAATTATATGAATTTTTGGTTTTAAACAAGTTTTATGTTTAAACATATTTTTATTAAACAACTTTACTTTCTGGATTTGTTTAAAAGAATCCATACTAGCCAGAATGTTTTATTTGCAAATAGCAACATTTTGTTTGTGCAGATGTTACTGTCATGCTACAAAAAGTTGATCCAGAGTTTTTAGTTTATGAATCAAAGCTATTAAGCAATTGGCAGCATTTTAGAAAACAACAGCTTTGTTAAATAGATTATTCCATTTATTTTCATGGAAAATTTTAATTCTCCATTTCTATAAAATTTTATCCTTATGCCAATATGTAACTATTTTATGAAACAGTAACACTATTTTAGAAGGAAAAAAATTGTCTTATATAAAGAAAATGTTATGTCTTTATATAAGAACTAGTTTTCTTTTCATTATCTCCTTTCAATATTTACATTTTTTACTTCTAAAATTGAACATTAAAAGCTAATTTTAAAACAAAAAAATTAGCACCCAAAGAAATGGAAAATATTTATAATAATTATGGTGAAGGATCAGTAAAAAAGAATACTACAAAAAGGTTCAGACAAAGGATATTAATAGGCAAGTATCAAAAGAAAACATGAATGGGCAATAAACATTTAGAAATCAAAATAAATACAAAACTGAACTAAGTAGTTTCCCGCCCCACCCCACCCCCATCAAATTCCCTTAGTATAACCAGCATGAAGATATGGTTGCTCTCATACACTCCCAGAATACAAATTTTACAGCCCTTCTGGAAAGCAATCTGCAACATGCATCAAAAGCCTTAAAAATGTACCTATCTTCAGGTAGAATAAATTTACTAAATTAGGTGAATTTAGTAATTATAAAAAATTTTATAATTTTTTATTAATTTATAATAAAATTTTTATAAATTTTTATTATAATTTATAATAACCACATTACTGTTCTATGGCCACTATATACACAGGCATGCATTCACTCATTCATCCAAATATTCATTCATGCAACAAATATTTATTGAGTGCCTTTTATGTAACAGCCACTGTTCTAGGACCTGAGAACACAGCAATGATGGAAACAGCCAAAGCCTTGCCTTCCTGAAGCTTATAATGCAGTAGAATTATAAAAAATTTAGTAATTCACCTAATTTAGTAATATTTTCTTATTTATGTTTATAGAAAAAATTATCCAAGGACAAGAAGCAGTGAGTACCTAAAACTTTTAAAATGTGCTGTTACTGTTTTCATGAAACATTCAGATCTGGAAAAGAAGGTACTCCAGCCTCTGAATACACAAATACCAGAACATACCGTCCCAGGGTTGGTAACAATCATGCCTTTGCATTCTTCTGCATATTTCTGCCACTCCAGCTCCTCCCACTGAAGCATATTGGCAATCTCCTCCTCGGGCACCAGGGCTTTGCTGCACCTTAACAAGTACAGGAGAATCTGGTGCATGGACAGCACTTCCTTTCCTCCATCTTGGGTGGGAGTGGACAGAAGGGGAAAAATAAGGCTACTCAACTTACAGCAAATCAACAACTGAATAAGGAAAAAACAAGACAACGGAGGAAAAAGAGCACGTACAAAAAGGTAATGTAAAATTTACACTGTTTAACCAGGTGCCAAATAATATGAAAGCCATTTGTTTCAGTGATGAACTGTGCTCATAAAGCATCTCATTTACTAAATTGGCAACAACAACATTATAAATGATAAAAGGCTCCATTTGTGAGGTATGAATATAAAAAAGGTGCCTATCTAAATAAATTTAAAACCACCTAACATAAAGAACCATAGTTTATAATATACAGAACCATGTTATGTCTTAAATATTTTATCATTCTTTCTGAGGTAACAGATGAAAGCTCTTTAGAAGTGATGTTACCATCTTAAGGAAATTCTAAGCTTTTGTGAGATATTTATGAATGTCTTCAATAAGCTATTGTTGCATTATGGTCTAATTTTTTGGTGCTAATGTGCTGCACCTGCCATGATGAACAGAGCCTGTGCTAATATCATGGAAGATCATTATGGGGTTAGTACACGGAAAAAATACCAAGTGTTCTGAGGCCTACAGAAGCATATAGCACCAAGTACAGGGGATAAAAATAACAAAGGGCATCATTCAAGTACCTTGGAAAAAGCCAATTAATCTAGTACTTAATGAACCAAAGACATCCACTTCATTTGGGCATTAATGTGGGGTCAGAGGCTTCTGCCTTCTCTTTGGACTTAACTTCTGGACCAACATGGGCAACCATTTGATACCTCTTTTCTTTGCCTACTCCCACCCAAACAAAGGACAAGAGCCCTGAAGAGGACAATCGTTACCCTCTCCCAGGTCATGAGATACACTATTAACAGTAGTACAGGACCAAACACTTCAGGGAAAAAGAAAGGGACCAAGAACACAAGATGGCAGCAAAGGGATGGCACAAAAGACAGTGTCCTCCTTGGTCAGAGGAATTAGTGTACCCAGTTCGAGTCTGAGGCACTAAACAATTTTAATGCGAATTGCTGTGGGCTAAGAACTTAAACAAGACTGCACGTCTGAGAGAAAAGAGAGTAGGTAACATCTCTATGTGAGCTGTGTTCCTCCAACTGAGATGTTACCCTGGAACTAGACCACATTGTTGTTCTACGGCCACTATATATGTAGGCATGCATTCACTCATTCATCCAAATACTCATTCATTCAACAAATATTTATTGAGTGACTTTTACGTAACAGCCACTGTTCTAGGCCCTGAGAACACAGGAATGATGGAAACAGTCAAAGCCTTGCCTTCCTGAAGCTTACACTGCAGTAGAAAGAGACAATAAAAAAGAGCTACATAAAAGATTGGGTTGAGATGAGTGCTATAAAGAAGAATCAAACAGGGCAAGGAACTAGAGTTGTATCTAAAAGGATGGTTAGGAAAGGAATCTTCTGAGAGGTTTCATGTAGGCAAAACTTGAAAGGAGCAAGGGAGGCTACCATGCAGCAGTCTGGAAGAGGAGAAGAAAGAGCAAATGCCCTAAGGTGGAGTGGAACTGTTGTGCCCAGAAACTGCTAAGAAGCCACTGTGGATGATGTGAAGTGAGAAGAATGTGAGAGAGGCAGCAGGGAAGTCAGATCTTACAAAGCTTTACAGCTCATTGAGAGCTCTGGAGTTGACTCTGAGATGGGAGCATGTTTTTCACCATATGTGCCAGGCACTGAGTGGTCCCATGTCAGCACCATTAGGGAAAAAAATGCCACAAGCTCTAGGCGCTCAAGAAGCATATAGGCTAATAATGATAGATCACAATGGTTCCTAAAGGAATCTTTGTAGATAACACTCGGAAAATAAAGTTCTCTCAATCAAAGTTCTAAAGACACTGTGCTTCTAAAAATATATAATAATTGTCCAAGAAATGACAAAGTCACAAAATACATCAACCCACATTACGATATGTTCTATCTACTAATTCACAGCAGTGACATTTTTTTATGCCTCATTACAAAGCAACCGCCTTAAACACAAAAGTCATCATTAATAAGCAAACTTGCATAGTGTTATGGACTCAATGTTTGTGTTCCCCCAAATTTCATATATTAAAATCCTTTTTTTTCTTTCTTTTTGATTCAGGGTCTCTGTCACGCAGGCTGGAGTTCAGTGATGCAATCACGGCTCATCACAGCCTCAACCTCCTGGGCTCAGGCGATCCTCCCATCTCAGCATCCCGCGTAGCTGGAACCCCACCATACCTGGCTACTTTTAAAATTTTTTTGTAGAGACAGGGTCTAATTATGTTGCCCAGGCTGTTCTCCAACTCCTGGGATCAAATGACCCTCCCACCTCAGCCTCCCAAGGTGCTGGGATTATGGTGTGAGCCACGGCACCCAGCCATATATTAAAATCTTAACCCCCAGTATAATGATATTAGGAGGTGGGGCCTTTGGAGGTAATTAGGTCATGAAGGTAAAGCCCTCATAAATGGGATTAGAGACCTTATAAGAAGGAACATGAAAGAGCTTGCTTCCTCTCTCTTTTGTCCACCAGGTGAGGATATGAGAAGATGGCTGGCTGTGAAGCAGTAATAGGACCTTCACCAACAACCCAACACGATGACACCCTGATCTCAGACTACCAGCCTCCAGGGCTGTGAGAAATAAGTGTCTGTTGTCTAAGCCACCAGCCTATAGTGTTTTTGTTAGTATAGTTCAAACGAAGAAACATGGATAAGGACATATTTCTCTGAGTCAGTCTCAAAACACATTTCCAGCTAGGCATGGTGGCTCATGCCTGTAATCCCAGCACTTCGGGAGGCTGAGGCAAGCAGACTGCCCTAAGCTCAGGAGTTCAAGGCCAGCCTGGGCAACATGGCAAAACCTCTCTCTACAAAAAATACAAAAATTAGCCAGCATGGTGGCAAGGGCCGGTGGTCCCATCTGTTCAGGAGGCTGAGGTGGGAAGATCACCTGAGCCCTGAAGGTTGAGACTGCAGTGAGCCGTGACTGTGCCACTTCACTCCAACCTGGAGAACAAAGTAAGATCCTGTCTCAAAACATAAAATAAAATAATACAAACATATTCCAATCCACCTGCATGTGACATGTGTTCCTCAATCAGTAATGTTCCTCTCTTTGCTAAGGAGCCCAGCAAACCCCTAATACCCGTCTCTCAGTCTGAGTCCATGATAATCGCTAATCTTCTAAGGGGACTGAGGTGAACAGGTGGATGAGAAAATTCTAATGCCAGAATGCGTTGCCTATACACTTCACGTGCATACACACCGAACAGCAGGAATAAAAGAAACCTAGAGAACCTTGGAAAGAATCACCACACTAACTAGGTTCACAAGGAACTAAGGAAAGAGGAAAATAGTTTTTGGCTTATAATGCCTATACTTGGTGAGATTACTGAAGAGTACCAGGGACTTTAAGGACACAATAGGGGTCTAAAATACCGTAAGAAGGAGCAGAATGTTGCTTTGTGTAAGGATTAGAAAAAAGATTCATATTTTCATGGGGGGAGAGAAGCATGATGGAGGGAGTAAATATACACAGGTCCAGGTATATAAAACAGCACTAGAATCTCCATGCATGCATTTACAGTTGCCTGACTCCATGGCACTTCAGATAAAAGGGAAATGGACTGGGGACAGCAAATTTAATGTGAAAAGACTTTTAAAAGAGCTAGTGGGAGAGAGGAATACTTAAGACTACAAACCAAGACTCCCTTAAAGGCTTCAATTCTGTAGAAAATGATTAGCATAGATACTGTCCAATTTAGGAAAGGCATAACTAGATTAAGAAATAAGGCCATTGGCTGGGTGGGGTGGCTCATGCCTGTAATCTCAGCACTTTGGGAGGCCAAGGTGGGTGGATCACCTAAGGTCAGGAGTTCGAGAGCAGCCTGGCCAACATGGCAAAACCCTGTCTCTACTAAAAATACAAAAATCAGCCAGTCATGGTGGCGGACTCCTGTAATCCCAGCTACCCAGGAGGCTGAGGGAGGAGAATCGCTTGAACCTGGGAGGCAGAGGTTGCTGTAAGCCGAGACTGTGCCACTGCACTCCAGCCTGGGTGACAGAGTGAGACTCCCTATCAAAAAAAGAAACAAAGAAAGAAGATCACAAGGTGCTTATATGAATGCCAGTTATCCATCTTCTTATTTAGGTGCAACGCTAATGATGAGGCAGGAGTGAGTCACATAGCAGCACAGAAACTAGACATAATTAAAAATACACACATACACACATCAGGTGCAAAGTTAACAACACTGAAGGAGAAACCACAAATCCATGTTGAAATCTGCTAAATATTTTAAATGGCAACTAAGCCTTAAAAGAGATTTTATTTACCACTGTAAAAAAGTAGAAACTCAGGGCAGATAACCTGAGGTGAAAGGTATCTCAAGGAAGGGGGACTGAGACTCTGCTCCCTGTCTGGTTTTGGGGTTCAATTTCCATGGAAAAGTAGGAGGAGATCCATAAATTAGAGACTCCTGCCAGAGCCCGCAGGGCATAAGCTGTATCTCTCACACTCAGCCTGGCAAAAAGACACTCCATAAACATTTGTGGAATGACTTTCTAAAGCAGACTAATAACTTGGCCACTTGCACTCAGGCTGCCATGAATTCACTAATGTTAATGAATTGGCTCTTTTGGTTTGTCTGCTTTGCCACTTGTTTATGTTGGGGATTTATGGAGCCATGTCACTGAGGGCTAGGAAGTAATTTTTATCTTGTTGGCTGAAATAAATAGGACATGATATAAATGAGAAATGAGAGCGGGTAAGCTAAGGTTAGCAGGAATTCCGCCAACTCTGGGACTGGAACCGTGACAACAGCTCATTATTCGGGAAGAACTGGAGTTTGTGTTTCAGGGAATGAATCTGGACAGTCATTAATGAACTGACAGACTTTATAAACTGTTTCTTAGAGACCCAATTCTCTCAGTTTATATTGCTTGATTATTTATATGGTTATTTGGGGAGGGGGATAATTTGTTA